TGGACGTTTATGACATGTTGATCTACATCACCCTCTGATGGTTCGCTTGCGAACTATTTGCATGCTCATCATAACAACGTCCTCTGGTGCGATTTCGTGGCCCTAGCAACGAGTTCTCTAGTGCCACTTTGTTGTACTATGACGACATTGCTCTCTGCTGCCTATTACGGAAGTTATGTAACCCTCAGGCGGCATCCTTTGATTTCCACTCACCTAGAGTCGGCATTCTTTGGGCACATAACAGACAGGATAACTACTCCCCACAAACTCTAGATCCGGCCTTGCCTTTCTGTACTGTATATCTCGCTCGTATAGCGAGACACGTAAAAAAAACAAAAATAGCAATTTCAGCTCTCATTAACCTAGCTTCATCACTAAATGTTAAGAATCTCACCCTGTGACACTTTGTATTCCTGTAAATGTTTGGTTTGTATTTGATAATACGATGTTTAAAACAAATTATCTAGTCAAACACTAAATCTTATGAAATAGAGATTACCGTTTCACCCACACTTTCCTATATTTTATCCCAATTATTTTTCCAACACATAACCCTAAAATAAAAAGTTTGCTAAACAGTACACTGATTACTTTACTCTTGCGTCCTTTCGAAACTTTTCAAACCATGCTTTGTTGCAGTTTACGTGGCATATACTACCCAAATCTCTTGTTAAACTTCGCATGCGATTTGTAGAGATATTGTTACTAAATGATATTGCCATTTTTCTTTGGGCATAATCATAATTCTATACTTTTCGTGTGTGTATGTGCACACACACATACGTATATATCTATATTAGGTCGTAAAGAAATTAATGTTTTTTTTTAATAAAAACCCGAACAACTTGTATATCAAAACAAAACATTTATTATATGAAATAGTCTCCATTCTTATCGATGATGCTTTTCCATCTTACAATCAGGTTGTTAATGCCCTGATTAAAGAAATCACTTGGCTTTGAAGCAAAAAACATGTCGATGTCTTCTTTAACATCTTCCACATTTGCATACATTTTCCCATTAAGATGGTGTTGCAGCGAACGAAAAAAAATGGTGATCTGATGGTGCAATATCCAGAGAATATGGTGGGTGGGGGAGAACTTCCCAACCAAACTCCATAATCTTGTGTTACGTCAAACGTGCCACATGTGCACGTGCATTGTCGTGGAGAAGAACACCTTTCAGATTGACAAGTAAAGGGCGTTTCTGATGAAGGGCTTGATTTAAACGTTCCAGTTGCTGACTATAGATCTCGCGAACTGTCAATGCATTTGTGGATTGAGGAGTTCGAAATGAATTACTCCTTTGATGTCCAACCAAATGCAAAGCATCTTTTTCTGTAGGTGGAGTCCAGGTTTTGAAGTCGGAAGTGGTTTTTGTCTTGGACTGAGCCATTGTTTTGGCGTTTAATATTCACATAAAGATTCCATTTATCATAACCGGTGACAATTCAGTCCAAAAATGGTTCACGCGCATTACCCGCTAGAAGAGATGAAGTAACGTTCACACGTTGGAAACGATGTTCATCGGAGAGTTCGTGAGGCACCCAAACATCTTCTTTATGGAGTTTCCCATATTCCTCAGATGTTTACGTATTGTTTCGTGAGAGACATACAATTTCAGGGCCATTTCACGAGTGTGTTGCGTTGGGTTAGAGTCAGCAAGCGTCTTCAGAGCATCAATATCAATTCCAACATGTCGGCCCCTGCCATCACAGGTTTTACGGTTAAAGTCACCTGAACGAAATTTGCTGAACCATCGTTGACACTTAAAAACGTTCAAAACATTTCCATAAACTTCTTTGATATTCTTTGTGGCTACAGAGACGCTGCTTCCCTTTTTGTATTCAAACAGCATTACATGCCGAATGTGTGTCTCGTCGTGTGTCATCACTAAAGCGATTAGAGTATACTAAACTTTACACATTATATATGCTACACTAACGTGACGTATAGGCGGTTAATTTAACTATTATACGTGATGTACGTTTTTTGGGGGGTGGTTAATGAAAGTGTTCCAAAACGCGGCGTTAATTTCTTGACGACCTAATATTGTAACAGGAGGGGTGGGTGTCTAAAAGGACTATTGGTGTGTTGTATAAGTTTGACAAGTTCTCAGCAGGTGAGTCCATTATTATTTTAAGTAAGTTACATATGTGTGTAGGGAAGTAGGAAGCGAGGGACCCCATTCATCAATCTGCCCCCAGTAAAAATACATCAAAATACGAAAGTTTCTCTCAGGAATTTAATACAGAATCAAAGAGTTTCCAGAGCCATAAGGTGAGCCCTGGACTCCGGCCGTTTCGCTTCGTCAAATAAATCTCCCCTCCCCACACTTACAATTTGCCTCCTTCATCTCTGCAAGTCGTGTAGGAACTTCGGTAAATCTACTATTTTAATTACGTGTTAAGAATATACGAATAAAATAAATTATAAGTCTGGAATTTGTTCTTCAGTTTTGACCAAACGAAATGATCAGTACAGACCCCGAAACTTTGCCCACCAGAAATACCATGATATTGAGTTCTAGAAAAAATAGGGGAGGGGGATTTATCTGTTTGTTTGTGAATTTCGCGCAAAGCTACACGAGGGCTATCTGCGCTATCCATATCTAAAATAGGAATTACTGCCTAGAGGGAAGGCACCTAGTCAACAACACCCACCGCCAACTCTTGGGCTATTCTTTTACCAACGAATACTGGGTTTGACCGCACATTATAATGTCCCTATGGTTGAAAGGGCGAGCATGTTCAGTGACAGGGTTTCGAACCTGTTACCCGCAGATTGCGAGTCCAGTGCCCTAACCATCAAGCCATGCCAAATCTCCATAATAATAAAAAAGAGATAATATCTCGAAGAGTCCCTGGGTTCAAGAGTATCCAATAAACAATTGCTTTATTAGCTATTACCTACAATTAAAATCTATAGGAGTTCTTGATTCCATAAATACACGATGTTCTCAAACAGATATAAATAAAAAAACATGTAGAAGTTATTTACACTACAGATGAGCTATTAATATGTTTACTAAAACCTCAACGTACAGAATCTTGTTTTTAATTAAAACCTCAGTGTACAGAATGTTGTTTTTAACTAAAACCTCAGTGTACACTATGTTGTTTTTAACTAAAACCTCAGTGTACAGAATGTTGTTTTTAACTAAAACCTCAGTGTACAGAATGTTGTTTTTAACTAAAACCTCAGTGTACAGAATGTTGTTTTTAACTAAAACCTTAGTATACAGAATGTTGTTTTAACTAAAATATTAGTATACAGAATGTTGTTTTTACTAAAATATTAGTATACAGAATGTTGTTTTAACTAAAACCTTAGTATACAGAAT